ATCAAGCTTAATTATTTCTCTCAAGAAGGAGTGTGAGAGGAGAATGGATTGAAATCGCGACGGACCGATTTGATGAAGAGCGCCACTTTTGCTTTGTATCTTTGACAGAGGATTTTATGGACTTTGAGCAATAATAATCACACGCATTTAAATTGATTTGTACAAGATTAATTGATTTAAAAATTTTGACATGCAGTGCTTCAATTAATTCATGTGATTGATAAACTGTCACCAAAAATAAATTCCATTGATAACTCTGTGGGAAAAGTTGATTAGTGAATATTTAAATTTAACATGTAAATCTTGCATTTTCATTAATATTATTCAATATAAAATACAACTTTTGATTAAATAATAAATACAAAAGTTCAGATAATGAAAAATTCAGGATTTAAGAAATAGTTGATTTGGTATTTATACAATTTAGGGTAATCTCTTGGTTTTCAAAAAAATAAATGCAGTCCAGTTCAAGCAGTTCCCTCCATTTATATTTATCAAATCTAATTAGCATTCAGAGACTCAATTAAAGCAATAATGTAATAACTTTAATACATTGAACCATTATAAAATAAAGATTTTATTTAAAAAAAAAAAATTGTATAATCATCTATCTAAGAAATATTTTTCTTTAATTTTTCTGTGCGTTTAACGAAATAAAGCTTCATTTCTCGGTGAGAAAGAGAGACCCCAGGGGCTCTCCCTTTCATGCCTTCACACTCTCAAGCAGCCTAAGAATTTTTTTCCACCAAAAAGCAGCAACTATAGAATAAGAAGCAGCGCGGGTGCTTCCGCCAAAAAAGAAACACTATTCTCGGACGTGCGCCTCGTGAAAAGCAGGCTGGGTTTAAAGAGGCATGAAAATCAATTTCTTATCCGGCAGCCGCGGCAAAAGGCAGCACTTAAAACTCCCCTGCAAAAGAGCACCGGCGAAGAAGTTTTTCGAGTGAGAAACAGCGCGATGGCGATATAGTTGTGTGTCTGTTTATTTTGCCTTTGTGTTTTATCCACGCGCGCGTTATCTGTCCGTCGCCTCCCGGTAGATTTCCGGCCCGACACTTGAAGCTCGGCCCCTCGGCAGCCTAGCTGCTTATCTTTGGCCAAGCAAGCATCCCTGCACCGTTCTGGCAGACGGGCAGCCAGCCGGGTCTCCGGAGACGCCGTTGGTAATTGCAGCAAGCGCACTCTCACCGGCGTTTGATGCTGACGAGCCGCTGCAACTTGGACGGCCGCGCATAATCATGCAACCCCATTAAAAGGCAACGCAGCCCCAACAGAGCACCAACCCTAGCATGGCCCTCAGGACCCAGATTTTGGCTGCTTAATTTTGCAGCAAGGCTATAAAAACGGTCTCATTTAAATTAATGTCTAATTTCATTAAGGCGTTTACAATTAAAATGGGTCTACACTAATAGCGAAAAATCTGTTTTTATAATTAAATGATCACCTTACTTTTATTTCCAAAACAATCAAATCTAGGGATGAAATTTTCTAGTAAGATAGTTTTACGTTTTTTGGTGTGTATTTGCAATATAGAATTTTATTGTAAATGAATATATTATTATGTAAGTTTTTATAAATTTTATAATTTACATACAATTCTGTGTATTTTTGTTTATAACTAAAATTTTATCAAAAATTTGTGCTACCTTTTGAACGATAGTGTCATTGAATATTTTGAAGAATTAGGAAAAGAAAGGAAAAAATTATTTTGGGATGCAAAAATTATATCAGCCATCACAAAGTTTTAGCGTCATAATAAATCTTCCGAAATGGCAGCACATTACGTCAAAATGCTCGAGATTTGTAGCTTCTTAAAACCCAAATTCCAGCAGAATCCCTTGAGGAGCATCCCTCCGTCTCCCCCTTTTGCGAAGCGGAAACTGTGTGACTTTGCCTGCGACGCGTTTCTAACGGCTGATTGCACTCGGCAGATAAAAGCTGTGCCTTTATGAGCAATTAAACTTCTTATTTCCATGCACCAGAGGCGCCGATATCAAATTATTTCGTCGCGCATTTAAGCGGTGCCACCGAGAGAGACGCATTTAAATTTTTAATTAAAAGCACATCTCGTCGCGCTATAGGTGCATTTCAATCGGCATGCAAGCAAACACATTAAAAAAGCTGGCAGCCGAGTTTACGACCCGCGGGAGTTACTGCCCAATAAAAATTAATAACACGCTCGCGCACTTTTTTAATTATGGCGGCGCCGGGTAAAACTAATGGAGAGCAATGTGCAGGTTGCCTCAGGAGTATTATACGTACGTGCGATAGTAAAGTGAAATGGATGTGTGTGTTTTCCGTCGGCTGATGAAGCCTGAACAATGTCATTAGCTTATCTCGCCGATTGCACTCTACAAAACATGCTGGTAGCTTTGTGAACGCATGAATATTATATTATTTAATGCTATTCAGCATGCACACAAATTAATTATTAATCATAGTGCCAAGTTAAAAAACTGAGAAATAATGTCATTAAAACTGGTATTTTCACTACACAAAATGTAGCTCATTCTATTATTCTTTATTAACAAAAACATAGTGGCACTGATTATTTTATAAAAATAAATTGGTCAATTTTTTCAAAATTCACAAGAATTATTTTAATTTGACATCAGACATTTCATTTGTAAATTTTTATGAATGCCACTGTTAAAAAAGCATATAATATTAAAATTAAATTTTAGAGTTAGTTTCGATTCAAGGAAATTGCTTGCATTGAATTTAGCCGAAATTATCAAGATTAAAATTAAATTTTTTGTTTCTTTCCAACCCTATCTGATTTGCTAATTGTCAGCTTCTTCTGTTGGCCAGTATGGTTAAAATAGCAATCATCATTTAATCAAAAAAATTACGACTTATTTATTTGTCTTCAAGTGACAAATAAATGCCATATAAATTCGAGAGCTTTCTGACCTTCCCAAGGTTTTTTACGTCCGCAGAAAACTTTCAGCTATGTCAAGAGAAAGAAAGTTTATACTTTTAAGGTTGAGAGTGCAGTATAATAAATATCATTTAACTCCAAATTAAATCAACGACATCAAGAAAAACTCCAAAACTTGTCCAATAACACTCAGAATTAGATCATTTTTTATCATTACGATGAAATTGCCGAACGGATAGGGTCCGGCACCCATCTCTCTGTATCATAAACTCGTGAACCCGTTCCGGCTAGGATATTAATTTGCCCATCGTCCCCTATCAAAATAACATCAGGAGCAAAAATGCACTCAGGCTGTTCGGAAACCGCAGAGCTTAATGGTGGCGGCAGTAAAAAGTGAGGAGTGGAATTTGGCGGGAGCGATGATCTCGGTCATCTCACTCACCCCTGGAGAGATCAAACCGGATGGATGAAAGTTTATTGAGGGTGGAAGTGAGCGGACTCGATGGTCAATATTGACGCCGCTTTTCACTGCCCGCGCACACACGCGTTGCCGCATTAACTGACACTCATCGTCTGTGGCCGTTTGAAAGATGATGGCTGACACTACACGCTGCACTCGAGTCGCCAAATGGCTCGCCTGTCAAAATATTCGCGTCTGCTCAAAGGCTAGACCTTATTGATGGTCGCTCGGCTGGCAAGAGAGAGAGAGGACGTGTTTCAAAGGACGCTCGTGCAGCTTCTCAAATCCGTGGAGAAAAGGAAGAAAGAAAGAGAGCAGCGTTTGCTCTAAAAGTATGAACGCACTACTTCATCTTTTTTCCTGCAAAGAGCAGGAAAGACGCGAGGTGCGCAAAGCTTGCTTTCAGCCGCATCCTTTTTGCCGAAGATCCACTGCGTTGTTGCAAATTTATCTTTTTCCCTTTCATGCAGCTGCGAGACTTTTTCAAGCGCAAATCCTTCTAAGTGTACGCCAAAAGACAAAATCTACTTGGGCCATAATTCATGAAAAATGTAAGGCTGGATAAAAACAAATCAGGATATTGTTCTTCCTCTGTACGTCTTTTACAACAAAGATAATATTATAGTCATTATTTCTGAAGTTTTCTCTAAATATATAAAAATTCAATTTCATTAATTATCCTCAAGAGTTGAAGCAAAATATGAATTTAATTTAATTTCGCATGACACTACTTTCTAGCGCAATAAAATCCAGCTTGAACTTTTCCAGGATATAAAAATTTATTTTTGTATGTCCAACTAATGAAATTGTTTGCCAAGTAAAATGTACGGTGAAAGAGATATTATGAAATGTGAGAATGGATAACGTTGAAGGCAACATGGGCGCAATAAATAGCTCAAAATTATGTATAAATATTCGCAACAATTTCTTGCATTAAAAAAAGTTTACCAGAAAAATGCTATAGAAATTATGAGCACAAGCAAATTAAACATTTGTTATTTGTATATTATGAGGGTTTTTTTTTCTTTTCTTTCAAAATTTATTTCTGCAAAAAAATGGAAAATTTTCAAGCCATTGAAGCTATAAAGAATTTTGATCAATATATTTGATTTATAATTTCTATACATATACGTCATGATTTTTTATTGCTCGACATCATTCACTAAAAATAATTATCATACTATTAACCCTATGGCTGACATTGGGTTTTTGGACGAATTGAACAAGCAAATGAGCCTCGTAGGTTTTGCAAATCGAAAAGGGAACTTACTTTTTCCACTGGCGAGTCCAACTGGCTTGCGAGCTGCTCGGATCCGCTTCGCTACTGCTGCGATGTCTGCAGAGCTCTTCTCACTTTGCATTTCGGCCGAATTTGTCCTATTTCAGGGCTCAATCATGACCCGCCGACAAGACACGGTGCACTTAACCACCAGAAAAAGCCATAACTAATTCATAATTATATGTATGTGCTGTGGGCGTGTCTTCTTGACTTTTGTTGCCATCGCCTGGAGCCAAGAGCCAAACCTCAGCTTGCTAGACTCGTTCCCGCGCTTTTCTCCCACAAGACACAAGACAATCGGGCACGCCCAAATATGAGTAATGACGTAATGAGTTTGGGGTTGTTTGAGTATGTAATGAGTGAGTAATTTGTAATGGCTTCCTTTGATGACAAAGTGCATCGCGTCTCGCCAAGATCTATAGATTGAGCCCGAATTCAGCCTGAAATAGCCAAATATCGGCCGAAATGCAACGTGAGAAGAGCTCTGCAGTCACCGTAGCAGCGAAACTGGCTCGGCAGAGCAGCTCGGAAGCCAGTATCAGACTCGCTGGCGGATAAGTATGACATGTACATAAGTTCCCTTCTTGCTCTTGCTTTGCAAATTCACCTACAAGTTTCATAATTAGGGCTCGCATCGCGTCTCGCCAGGATCTAGATTGAGCCCAAATTCGGCCCGAAAGAGGACAAAATCGGCCGAAATGCAACGTGCTCTGCAGTCATCGAAGCAGCGAAGCTGAGCTGAAATCTCAGCAGAGCAGCTCTGAAGCCAGTCAGATTCGCCGGCGGAAAATTATGACATGTAAGTTCCCTTCTTCTTCCCCTTGCTTAGCAAATTCACCTACGAGTTTCATAATTAAGTCTGATTTATGTACTTTTTTAAGTCAGCATAAAACGCCAAGTCATTCATATATGCCGTATTCAATTAGATTTTTTTGGAGTGAAAAGCAATAAAAAAATTTAAGCATTTTTTTCTTTTTTAGGGAAAAATTTCACGCCGGATTTAAATATGCTATAAAATGGAGGATGCGAAATTAAATGAAATTCATATTTTGCCTTCACCCCTTGAGGATAATTTTATGAAATTTAATTTTTACATTATTTAAAGGCAACTTTATAAATTATGACTGTGATAACTTTAAATAAGGCTCGTGAATAAGACTGATTTACTTGTTTAACTTAGCCAAAAACCGTGACGGCCGATCAATTTGAGAATTTTTTTTAGCTTTAATCCTTGGACTCCACCACCATGCTTTCTGATTATTTTTCTTTAATCACAAAAAAAAAAAACAGAATATTAAATCTCATCTGCAAACATTTGCGCAGATTGCTTCTCCGAATTCATCTCGTCATCTTATTCTGCTCCGCTCTCCGTTTGCCAAAAAGTGTGTCAAGCACGGGCTAATTATTTTAATCTCAGACGTACTAAAACTTGTTCAGCAGCCCCGGATGGATGGAGGGTTGTTATAATATTTCCTCCGCCCCGGCGCGAGTTGGGATTTGAATGGGTCGGCGCGGTGGCGGGCCCGGTGCTTGATGATGAAAACAAAGTTCACTGGCACAAGAGGCCTTTCCTCTCTCAGCTCTTGAAGATGCTCGCTCGCCGGCGGTGGGAAGTGAGCGAGAGTTTATTACTCGAGAGAGGCAGAATTAAAAAGTTTCATTATTTCCAGCAGCTAACCCTTAATGCTGCCGAAACTTGAAAACTGCTCCGCCGCTGATGACTATTGATCAGCGGCGCTGATTGGAAAGTGCGATGTCGTGGATTACTGGCTTTGCCACAGAGTTTGACGCCATCAAGCTCACAAACAAACAATGCAGTTTGGCTTATCGCTGAATTTAGTCCGGTTTTGGAAATTTGAGTAATGGGTTGCTTTTGACTTTAGTGCGGGCGCGGCTATTCAATCAGACAACCGGGATGAAAAGCATAGTACCTGATGATTTAGATCGCTATTGTCAATTTCATTTTCAAATCATATTAATGACAAAACACTTATTTAATTAAAATTATCATTCATTGCAATTTTTATTACAATGAATATGATGATAGTTAAAAACATTTAAAATCAGAAATGTGTGTGTGTTTTTTTTTTTTTAATTATAAACCCCAATCTGGAAATATTTCAAGTTTTTTTCTTTATTTATGAAAAAAAATCTATTTTATTTGCGAAAAAAATAAATTATTTCCACCGCTTTTTTTTAAATGTGTGAAATATATTATGGTACATTCCTAATAATAATATATTCTATGTCGAGTTTAATTAACAATGAATGCTCACAAACAATTAGCTGCAATTATAAAAATAGCAAGATTAAAAAGAATTGCATTGCTTTTTCCCCATTCTTCTTCTTCCAGATAATGGCTAAATAGATACCAATAAAAGGCTGTGAGTGAACAAGATCAGTCGTGAATAATAGAGGCTAATCCGCTCGAGTGCAGAGTAATTGCAGAGGCCATTAAATATCGCAGGCGGACAAAGTAATTGCTCTCGTCCGCCACTGGCTACTCGCGGCACTAAAAATAATTGCCGACAAATTATTGCAATTTCGCATCGACCCTTTGCGAACACAATCGGACGGCACTTGAAATTAATCAAAAGTCCATCGATCTGTCCACGCTTGGCGTTAATGCCCCTGTAAATTATGCCTGACCGTGCCCGCAGTGCAGCTATGACGCGCTGGCAGCCTAAGTGCATTCGACTGCCAACAAAACCGCGCATTTATTTTGTCGGCCGGACGCGTTTCCACGCCAGCAATCGTACTGCGGAAGCGTGTGGCTGAAAAAATCTTAGTTCTTCCAAATTGGCGGCGCTGCATTTCCCTTTTGTTTGCTTTCAGTCGCGCGCTGCAGCGGAAGCCTTTTGACGGCGACTGAACTTTGAGCATTTGCGTTGCGATTATTTAACATGGTGGAACTGTGACCTCTCGCGCGTAAAAACGGTGCCGCATTTTACGCCAGAGTTGTAAAGCTTTTAAATGAAATAAAAAATTTCCAATGTTTCATAAAAGTGACACGTGAAACGATGTATGATAAATTTCGAAAAGGGAATAAAAAACTGAATGATTTTTTTTATATAAATTTTTGCAATGAAAGATTCTAAAGTTATTATTGCAAGAAAAACTTTCTAATCAAGTTGTCTTTTCAAACGAGCTTGTAATTATTTTGCCTTTCCGTTTAATTGTTATCCTAAACTCCTTGCCTTTTTCCTAATAATCAACTAACATTTGTACCAAATTTAATATAGAGCGATTCAAGAGCCAAACCTGCCTAGGCTAAAAATTAAAAATAAGTTGCCTTAATCTTTGAGTTAAAAAAAAAATGGATCTTTGTTATGAAATGATCATAAAGTACTGGACAAAATAATTATTTAATTAGTTAAGAAAAAATTACATTTTAATTGATATAGTTTTATTTTGAACAAAATTATAAATAATCACGTGTCTCATTTTTAGTTACTGAACTTGCAAAAACAAAAGAATCCAGCAACATAAAAATGAAACATATTTCTTTTCGCCCATGCCTTGGCAATTAAAGCAATCAAGAACCTGAACAAAAAGTGCTGTTAAAAAACATCAGTGAAAGCAGCGGTTTTTATAGCGAAATTGCATCGTTGTGGTCCACGGCGAATTCCTTTTCATCCCGCGACGGATATCATTTGTCAAAAAACGCCGACGGGATATTGATTAATAACCCAGATAGCAGCGTTGAATTTTTCTCCCCCGCGTCCTCGTTGGGCGTTTGACGGTCTGGGCGGCTTGTTTTGTATCGGCGCACAGGCGGACCCGAGACGGACGGCTATTGTGTAACATTGTATAATGATATTTCTCTCAGCGGCAGAACTCGAGAGCCGACGGCGATTAGGGTTGCGGGGTTGAGCGATGACGGGGCAGGAAATTATGCTGGGTGTGTATCATTTTTCAATCTATTGAATCAGAAATATGTACGAGTTGTTATATTTCGCCGCGATTTATGTATCGCCCCTCTCGTATTATTGGATTCGCATTATTTTTACGATTCAATCTTTTGTGTTGATCCACCGTGATGGATGATGTTTTCTGCGGTGAGCGATCGGGGGCGCAAAAGGGCGGTCGAGAAATATTATCCTCTCTTCGCTAGACCAATATCAAATCAAATAAATAAAAAAGTACAGAATGGTGAATTTACAATGTATTTTTAGTGTGATTAAATTATTTAAATATTCAAAATGCAAATGATATTAAATTTATTATACAAATTTAGATCTCAGCAATCCAATTAAATAGGTTAAAAAATAAATCAAACTTATAAACAGCTTATAAATTACCGAATTATAGATATAATAAGCCACTGAATCAAGTGGAATTATTTATGAAATAATCCTATGATTTAACTGTGCAATATATCTCTCCGTGATTCAGCTCTGACTGCAGCACATTTACATTTTCAATTCTTGCTCGGCGGCGGATCAAACACACACTCCGCAATGAAACCGTGCATTTGAAGCGCGTGCATTCATAATTGAATTTCGCGGATGCCTGGGCTTAATTAACACACACGCGAAAGGGCTTATTCATCTAGCACGTGCCCGTCGAGATACTAAAATAATGCTCCAGCAGATCCAACCGGCTGATTCATAATTCCCATGATAATTAAGACCCACCACCTGATGAGAGAAAAAGGCGCAATCTCTCCCGCCTTCTATTCATCGATACACACCAAGTCTTCCTTTTTTCACTGCAGAGTATTTTGACTCATCAGCTGCGCTGCCATTATTAGACTGGAACAAAAAAGGCGGCTGTAATTAGCGGATTACAGATTTTTCCTTTATCCAATTTCAGTCGGGACTTGCGGAAAAGAAAAGAATAATGAACTGATTATGATAAAAATGAGCATACTTGATTTGAATTTAATTTAATTTAATTAATCTTTACAATTAAAAACTAAAATTTTATAATGATTCTAAAAATCGCAATTTCCACCTTTTGATGATTTTTTTTAAGAGATGAGCGAAATAAATTTCATATTCACAGTTTGGTGCCAAAAATGTGGGTATAAAATTTCACCGCGAGCTTAATCCGGATGCTCTCCACATCCAATTGGAGTAAAACCATCAATGCACGCGCCCGTATGTTTCCTCTTGCGGAATATCATAAATTTTAATTTGCGCGTTTTATCCGCGAGTGAGAGCGGCTGGGAAAGGAAAAAACTTCCATTCGCCCTCTCACCTCCGCCGCTATGATGAGATTAATCAAGATTTGTGAATAATAAATCACCCTCACCTCTTTCACTCTTGAGCCTTGCCGCGTGTGCAGAGCCAATTTTTTTCCGCCCGCCAGAGAAAAAAATTCCCCACACACAAGAGAGATCCAAAATATGTACACCGAGGGTATAAAAGCCGACGTGGCTTTTGCCGAGGAGAAAACAAGCTCGGGGTTTGTTTTGGTTGGCATAGCCATTCCGGGCATGTCCTCAATATCCGAGAGTTAACAGCAATTCAATTTATGAGCCGTCGTGGGGATTCCGCACGCAGTCCAAAATTTAATCTCTGCGCAAGTGTATAAACACGTCTACGGACGAGTTTGAAAGATTTCACCCAGCGGCCGAATAAAAAGCAACAGAAAATAAAATTGCCCTTTTCGGGCTCCACCCCCGGCACTTTATACTGCACACGATGGAGTGCGACTGGACAATCTCCGAAGATGATCTTGTTCTTTTTTCTTTTCTCCATAAATATAAGGTGGTTTGGAACGAAAATGCCATACACCGGCGGGCTGCACCGGTACATAAAGCTGAAAAATTGCGACTTATAAATGGCGGTGTTT